AACACACAGGCAGCTAGACAGACAGATAGATTATCTAACCCTGAGGTTTAGGGAAGGATTTGCCGAAGAAGGAGAGTCCAGAACAATTGCAGCATCTTGGATTCAATAGCACTACGCTTTGTTGTCAACCTAAGGTAACACATGCAAACTGGGGTTGCTTTCCATGTCCGCCAAATCTGCCGCCGTGACACAGCAAAATATCACCACCTGCCTGAAGCAATACTGTAGTCTGTTTGCTTCGGCAGGTACTCGAGAAAGCCTAATACATTTCCAACTAGCTGCGGGGAAGGGGCTGGCCGGACACGGCGAAACAGCCTTCAGATCTCTATCAGAGTCTATCATGTCACGGGGGAATGCTCTATCCAGAAGTAAGGGAGGCTAGTAACGGAGCCTCCATCATCCCCCAACCCCCAGGCCCAAACTTGAGAATCCTCAACCCCTGGAGACCTAAAGACCTGCACCCCCAAACCCCTGCAAACATGAAAACAGGCTCCTGAAAGCTCACGCCTGGAAACCCTGCACCCGCAAGACACCGCCGAAAGCCCTGGAGCCTGAACAACCTTTATCCCAGCCCTAGCCTCAAAAGCCCCAAGCCCTCCAATAACCCAACACCCTAAAGGCCCTAAACCTCTGTAAACCTATCGACCTCGCGGTTCTAGCTGTAGGATTGAGGTTTGATCATGAGGTACTATCACTTCCTACTTTTATGATTGTTATACTTATGGTACTTTTTAGTATTATTCTGACCCCTTAAGTGCGGTCTGATGTTTGAGGCTGGTGGTTCCGGGATGAGGCCTTAGGATCCAATTTTTCGGGTTCAGGAGCTGGGGTTTCATATGTGGGGCTCTGTGTGTGTGTGTACTAAGACTAGGTTTTCGTGGTATTTCATAGTATACCTATATTCTAGTGAACCTCAAGGAATAGTATCAGACATCATTCAGTTCAGGACCCTACATGAAGGCTTCAGGTTAGACGGTACTTTGCCCCTACAAAAACCCGACAAACCATCGTGCTAGAGCCCCTGAAGAACCCTATGGACACCCTATGGACACCCCGTAAAGAAACAGTTGTAAAGGCTCTAAACCCCTAAACCCTAAACCCCTAAACCCTAAACCTTAAACCCCTAAACCCTAAACCCTAAACCCCTAAACCCTCAACCCCTAAGCCTTAAACCCCTGCGCCTGCGGGCCATCGAGGTCGCAGCTCTGCGCGCGCAGGAGGCTCTGGATGGAAGGGCGCATCGACCCAGGGATGTCCTGGCGTGCTTTTTCGTTGAAATGGGTTTAGGGAGGAGCAGCCGTATTCATAAAGTCTGTGAAAATCTCGAGACGAGCCTACCGCTACTTGTGAAATGGGTTTAGGGTTTCGGGTGGTTGGTCCTGTTTAGGGTGGGTGAAGAATCAGGGCTAGGTTTAAGGCCCAGGGATTAGAGTTTGCTAGTGGTGCCGGAGCATTGATATTGGAGCCGCTGCATTGTATTAATGTCTCCACGACTCTTGGACGGTAAGCAACAAAGTAGTTTGTGGAAGAAGCATGATTATCACAAACACCTAGGGCACGGGCCTCAATGCTGTCCCAAGGATTGTAGAGTACTGTGCAGATATAAATGACAACCGCCACCATCGCGACTCTTCCCTGCAATGGCCCAGGTCGGCTTCAACTTCCAATCTCGCTGCTAACGTCTTCAGGCGCTTGAAAAAAGCTATGCGAAGACACACACACATATATGTATATATATATATATACATATTGTAATATAAATACGATAAATATTGTTTAAATTTTATATTATACTATATTATATAATATCACTGGCTGCCAACCCCACACAGTCCTGCGGTGTGGGCGCCGGAGCCTCTTCCTGCATTTTCTGGGTGCGCTCGCCCTCTGATTGCATGGAAAATGCACACATTTATGAACGTGTCAATGCAAAAACACGGACAATGCAGGTATTTGTAAATATGTAATGAGCTACTTAACTGAGTGTTCATGTTGTGTTATTTACTCATTCCTACATAAAGAAGAGTAGGTATTCGTATGCATTCCAACCATACATACGCAGATACATAGGCAGGGATGTATACATACATAGTTCTATGTTGTGCAATATGATAATTTGCTAAGCAAGCATGTACATATGCACGCAAGCATGGTATTGTGTTGTATTCTATTGTATTGTAAAGCTGTATGGTATTGTTGTATGCATGGCTGTATGTACGCATGCATGTAGGCAGATATGAATGTATCCATCTATCTATCCTGAACCCCAGGCCCTGAAGCCTAAACGGCAGTCCACTGACTGCCCGAGGCCCCCACAGGCTGGCAGACCACCTGGCCCAAGAGTAGGTCGCTTGAGTGGGCTTCTTGAGGAGTTCCGTTCAGGTCTCTAGCCCTCGGCTTCGAGGTTTAGGGCTTAGAGGTTTGGGGTTTGGGCGTTGAGTGGGGACTTTGGTTTATGGGTCTTATAGGGCCCGGGAGATCGGGTCGGCCGGGCGGTCTTGGGACTTGTAAGCGCGCTAGAGTGTGTAGTGGCCTGAGAGGCATAATGGAAGACGGTAAAAGGTTTAAGGGAGTGGAAGGGTTTATCGGGGCTCAGGGCTGACACGAGCCTTGGGCATAGAGAGGTTCTGGGTTTCGGTTGCAGAGCCAGCTTAGGGAGGGTTGAGAGCCGAGGGGATGCTAGGCGTTAGCGTGGTGCCCAAGCAGCAGTCACAATAACAGCTATGATCAGAAGTCAATGCGAAATGCGAAGACCGAAAACATCCACAACAGTTTAAATAGCCGCAGTGACAAGTGGTAGCACCAACGGTCAGCAGAACAAAGGCTTCTTAGACTGGAATGACCGTGATTCGTGATCACCGGCACAACCACTTGACAATCATCATGACGATCATATGTGCTGAGACAGTCCCCCCAATCAGGGCCCCCCCAGACTATTAGGGGCTATTAGACCCTATTAGTCCCTATTAGTCCCTATTAGTCCCTATGAGTCCCTATCAGTCTTCCTTAGCCGGAGTGCTGGTCTATTTGGGTGCGATGAATCGTACAATCCACTGATCTTGCTCAAGACGATTTTGCATCCTGTTGAGTCTGAGAGTTGCGGTTGTGAAACATCAGAGTTGCGGTTGTGAAACATCAAAGCGACAGCGACGGTTGCTAGCGAGAGGCAGAGAGCTTTACTGGTGATCATGATTGGCCTCTCCCGCCTGCAAACAACTACAGGCCTAACAGTTTTTCGAGATCACGACTTGCCCCTTCCTCCTCTGCCACGCTTCGGTTTCGGTTTGGCTACAGTCTTTGACTTCGCCTCAGCTTTGGCACCTTTGCCCGAGCCTCTGCCATGTGACGGCGCAGCCTTTGGCTGAGCAGACGCAGACGACGAGGCCGCTGAAGCTGTACCAAGCAAACCTGTTGATCCCGTGAAGTTTCTGACAACGAGCTCGATTTGTCGCTCAGTAGGCCTGAGGCAATAGAAGGCATACACAAAAAAATGATTCCAAGCTGCATTTCTGGTGACCCCATCGTTAGCTTATAAAGCCTGAAACCACCCCACCTGCCAGCATCAGTAGCTGACGGATCGTCTAGCAGGTGCCGAGCCCAAGCCCAATCCAGCACCTCGCCAAGCGCAGCTGCCTCTGTCAGGCCACGCACGGGGCCTCCCCACGTCACCGTCTTGCTTGATGGACCCCCCAACGGATCCTCGCCTATGTTATGGTCGGCTGGGTTTGCTGGGATTGAAGGGAGGGACATTTGACTCCCAAAACATTAAAGAACTGGGATTGAGGGGAGGGACATTTGACTCCCAAAACATATTCTTAATCCCAAACCCCAAGCAAGCCCCGAACTAAGGTTTACATATTGGCTTCGTAAATTGAAAGTTTCAAGGTTTAGCCAGAAGTTTCAGAAGTTCGGTGGCTTGGGAAGCCGGCTTGATATCGTTGGAGAACCGGCTGTCGGTTGCACCACGCACGAGGTGGGAGCAACTGCCTGATCTCATCCGGAGTGTAAGTGCGCCTCGTGTACGCATCTTCGGCCTCAGCCGAAGCCCGCTTCTTCTCAGCATCTTTCTTGACCTGAGACTCCATGTGCTTTTGGTTCAATGCGACATCGCGCACAAACCTGAAGTCCTGCTCTGCGTCGTCGCCCAGATGCTGAATTGCCTGGAGGACGTCTTCCGGGCACCGTACGGACTGCTTCTTGTAGCCGGTGCCTCCCATGATCATATCTAGCATAAGCTGCCGATCCTTCTCGGAGATGTCGGGGTACTCCGCTTCAGGAAATAGGTGTTGTATCAGTGCTCTGGCATAGTCCACTTTCACATTGTTGCCTGTCTTCCCGGATCCTCGGCCCTTTGCGGGCAAAGGTAGTTTGAGAATTTCATGAAGTTGCTGGAGCTGGGAATTGTCAAGTTGGCAGCCTTCTCGCACCGCTGATTTCAACAACGGCTGGCGACCTCCGGTGACTTCCCAGACAGATCCCAGCCGGCTGATGGTCGGAGGTACAAAGCAGGGAAGCAACAACCGAGTTGGGATTCGCTGCCACTCTGTCTCCCCTTGGAATTCGGTGCTCACCATCCAAACTGGCTCGGATGCCGCGGTATCCAGGGCCAAGTACTCCTCGTTGGCAGGCGGCTATCGAAAACACCCCTCCCAAAAGTAACAAAACAATTCCTATTTGCACGCCAACCTTCTCCCCATCACGTAGCTTCATCAGGGGGAGGCCGAGAGCGGCCCATTTTCGGAACCCCAGGGACAGGCAGTGAATGCCCTTGCCCACCCTTTCAAACACGAAGCCTTTCTGCAGGAACACACCTGGAAGGGATTCAATTCAGGATACGGGTTAATTAAGCAGTTGTACATGCCGATATGACAGTATGTATTTGTCCTGAGTCAGGTTAGCTGGCGGCTAGCTAAGAATCAACCCAAATCTAAAAACCTTATGCTTACATCCAGCCCAAATCCTGAAATCCAACTCACTGAAACCCTAAGTTCATGGATAAGTCAAGTTCCTAAAGCCCCTAAAGCATATGCTTTTTTGGCGTTGCCTGCCCATGCTTTTTCTATTCCATCTGTGGGCTGTCTGATGTTCATGAGGAAAGCAGTGGCCGCCGTCATAACCTGATTGCTGAATGGGCCAGCGTTCTTTTCAGTCTTCTTCAGGTTCGAGGGTGTGAAATTCAGGGCCTGTGGCAAGGTGAACTTCTCTGTCATCGAGAACACCCGGCTGTTGCTCGCCATGTCCTGGTCCTTTGCACAAGCTTCCCGGCACAATGTAGCACGTCGATTGATCGCAGCAAGGAAATCACGGTAGCTTGGCTCGAGCTTGTCCCACTCCAGGTCGTCGTGAGACGGGACAGTGTTCATGTAGAAATACTTGAGCCATCTCGGTTGACTATGCAGTGCAATGATTCAATCAAACAAAATCCGGTTGGTTGTGTCCAACATAAAAAGCGAGGTGGTGTCTTGCAAAAGATGTAGAGCCACAGACTGGCTGGTTAGATGATGGAAATTCGGTTGAGGGATTAGGGCTTAGGGTTTGGGATAGGTAACCAGGGTGCTTTGTGAGCTTGTGGTGGCGTGCGAAGCGCTTGGTGACGTCCGACAGATGGGAGAAACAATCTTCGAGATAAAATTTGGTATTTGCTGGAGTAGCAAATACCAGGAAGGAGAATTCACGCAGCTCCTCTGAATCGAAAGCCCAGTTTTCCCGACGGCAGCTTTCATAAATCTCACGGGACAGCTGGGCCTTGTGAAAGGCTAAGTCAGCCATCAACTGACGGAGCGCCTTTTTGATTACAGGGGACAGCTTTTCATCCCCTTCCCAAGCCTCGGCGCGCAAGATGCTTTCCCAAACCTCTTGGATGCGTTGCATTCCAACTCGGCGCTGGTCAAGGTCTTTATGATGAATGCAACAGAACAGGTATGGCAAGCATATTGTGTAGATCGCGTGATTCCACGCGTGACATGCTGCCAGTTCCAGCGTGTAAGACCGCAGGGTTTGCAGCGCGTCATACTGCTCCTGCGCTGATGGCCCCATGTCCCCCACCGCTGGCTGACTGCCGAGGTGCTGCAGTGTCATCCACAACTTGTCTAAGACATCCGTGTCATGAACTTGATGAATGAGCTCCTTGACCGTGCCGTACCAGGCGAACATTGCCCTGGCGGCTCGCCATCTCAGAGTTTCAGCCTGCCCCCCCCCCCTCCCCTTCCATACTAGATTGTCTACATGCGATACAAGTCAACTACTATCCAACTATTCTAATGGATGTGGACTTGGCCTGTCCCTGCTGATGTGTGTCGATCGTATGCTGGTATGCCTTGGTGACAGGGCGGGCCCCCAAGTACAGGATCTTCAGCTCGGTTTGCAGGACGGGATCGCCGTAGAAAGCATGTGCCATTGCCTGGTTGTTGGCATAGCGCTCCCTCAGCTTCGCAAGCTCCTCCCTACTCTTGGGCCGTTCATTGTGCTGGTTGTCTGCTGCGCGTGTTCTTCGGCCTCACCCATGTCTTCATCTTCCTGTCATGGCAGGCTATAAAGCCACCCCCGCCCCAGCCGAAACCCATCTTATCCTCAATCCGACCCACTGCCCCCCTTGCTTTGAAGAACCACCTAACAATAACCTGGCACGGTTCCGCAGATGCAACTGGACAGTCTGTACTACTCGTGGTCGTACTACCAGCAAGCCCAATTCACTGAATGTACGACGCCACCTCTCACACGTTTGCAGCTGAGGAGCATCGTCATCCTGTACGCCGTCGTCGATGTGGTGATTGTCCCTCACGTAGTCGAGGAGTTTCTTGTTGAGAGACCAATGCAAGGCCACTCCGTAGACGGCCACCAGGGATCCGAACCAATGCTTCTGTTTGGCCTCAGCAAGGCAAAGAGGAGGAGGAGAATACAACACGTCGAGTTCAGAAGCTTGAGATGTGTGTCCCTATTTTGAGGCTTACTTAATCGAGGGGTACAGAAGTCCCAAGCCTTAAACCGTAAGTTCTCAAAAGCTGCTTCGTCTGGGGGTTACACTAGCTTTTTTAAAAATCTTTAGGAGCCACGGATGACAAAATTGAGTCGAAGGTGCAGGACTCATTGCCGTACTATTAGAAGGCTGATCCCTATTGTTCCGGGTTTGCTGTAAGACCATGAGTTACCCTGCTCTAGAATGACGACAGCAGCACGAAGCCAAGAGCGTGCTCTCATGTTTTGACCCCCCCCGAAATTCAAGCCGTGCTTGCCCAAACGTGTGAGACTTCTGCCTGAAATGGCAATCTCGTTCGGGCCAGGAACAGCTTCTGGCTCCTGGCTGCGCCCTTCAACACTTGATGGTAGCATCTGGACCGCATGACTAGCTTGCCAGTTCCGCATGAGTGACGCGTCGCTTCTTCGTGGGCCGCTTCGGAGTTGGTGGAGGGCCCTTTTTTGTCTCCGGGGTGGTTACGACTTCTTGCTGCGGGCCGGTCTGCTTGCTCGGCACCGATGAACTTGAAGAGTCACGATCACTGATATTCAGGGCCTCTAGCCCCACCAGCACCTGCTGCATGTTCTTTGGCGGGGTGAAGAGCACGTCCTGCACGCTAAGTTATCTGGGTTTGGGCGTGGCTTTTCATGCGTACCCATGCCATAGGCTCCATTGTAGTTCCTTTTTGTGGTTTATAATATTTGGGATTCTATAAGGTAATCGCAAAAACGAACCACAATGGAGCCTATTATGGGTAGTCTCCAGACTTCCAGGATATGTACAAGCTCCAGATTCGATCTTTAATTGGGGGAGAAGCAGTCCTTGTAGGAGTCTGGGGAGTCAAGAGCGGCCTCTGCTGTGCGCTTGCCTGACTTGCGAGGCGGCGTCATCTGATCGCTCTCCGACGACATCGCGCCAGAACACAGAAGGCTGGGCGAAGCAGGGCTACACTAAGTCAAGTAGACCGGGCTGCTGAGCAAGGCAGCACAAAAACAGCAGGCAACCTGATCTTAGCGAGCCTTCCCGCAGAGATGCATCATGTATGAACGAAGCAATGTGAAATATGTGTATATACCTACAGATATATAATATGTTGATTATTTATTTGTAATATATGCACACACATATACGCACGCAGACCCACCCACCCACCCACCCACCCACCCACCCACACACACACACACACACAGACACACACGCACACACACGCACACACACACACACGCAAACACACCTTCCGCACCGTTCGCACCTATTTGTTGATCCCCACACACACACACACCATCCGCACCGTTCGCACCTAATGTTGATCCCCGGCACAAAGGCGCTAAAGCATCGGAGATATCGTTAATGACCGCACACCTGTTCTTTTGCTATTTACTACTGGGATGGGAAGTAGCTGAATCTGAGGCAGCGGCATATGGCCCCAAAGTGTTCACATTTCTCAATTCCGGAATGTCTTCCGGGGACAATGGAATCTCCGCGCCCTCCACACCTGCTAGGTCCGCCGTCATGGCCTCCTGTAGCTCTTGGAATTCGCTCACAGTCATGCGCTCTGCCATGCTCTGGGCAGCTCTCTCGCGAGACAGTTGGTTGCTTCCCGAAGAATATGGGCCATGATTCACATTCGCCATCAAGCTTCCAAGGCACAGGGCGCCTTGCAAACCGCTGCGCTTTGCTGCTAGCTTGACACTATTCCAAAGGCAGTGGAGGCTTTCCGCCTCCACGTGCATTCGAAGCCCTGAACGGTACATCAATGCCCAGCAGGATTTGAATGGGAGGAAGTCTTCGTCCATAGCCTCAAGTAATGTCAGCAGCAACAATGAAGAACCCCCTTCGTACAACGGCCATTCTAGGCTAGCTGACTGTCTACGTGATCGATGCTACAAAGCAACTGCAGTCAGAATGGGACGTTGCGAGGCTTTCTCAGAGTCCAAAGTGAACTCACCGCCTGGCCGCATCCTATTCTTGGGAACAAACAGTTCCAGACCGTTGCCGAACACGTCCAAGCTGTTCTTGTGCAGTGCTTTTGTCACGGCCTGGGAGTGGTGGACGGGTTCCGGTTTGTTCTTTGAATTAAAGCCGCACACAGAAAGAGAGAGAGAGAGAGAGAGAATCATAGTAGCTGCAACTATTCCAAGAACTAAGACAGGCACACACACACAGCGCACACGCACAGACAGACACACACACTTACTTTTACAAACAGGACAAGTTGCACAGAAATAATAATCAAGTTGGACGATGCTACTTCTGGATCCCAAGACTAAGACCACACGGGGTGTGCAACACGCATAGGTATGTGAGGGAGGGTGGGTGTGTGTGTGTGTGCGGGTGCGTCTGTGTGTGTGTGTGTGGGTGGGTGTGGGTTTGGGTGTGGGTGTGGGTGTGGGTGTGGGTGTGGGTGTGGGTGTGGGTGTGGGTGTGGGTGTGGGTGTGGGTGTGGGTGTGGGTGTGGGTGTGGGTGTGGGTGTGGGTGTGGGTGTGGGTGGGTGGGTT